TTTATGTGATGCAGTCTGCATAAGCAACCCTTACTCCCTTAGGCTCTCCCAAGACCTAGATGGACGGCCTAAGTACTGCTTAGGTCTAGCCAGGCGCCTAGGGTGCTTTTGAAAAAATTAAAACAAGTGACTCTGTTGACTAGGAGAACATTAAGTATATGAGATAAGATTACAGAAAGTGCTAGGCGGCCTAGGCATTGGACGTGACGCCTAGAGCCTAGGAGAGCCTAGGCGGTTTTCCTAGTTATTTTTTAATTAGAACAATTGATAGCAAATACCAATATTATTAAAAGCTTAGGCGCCAGATTGTCACCTAAGCGGATTTCTTTCTCTGTTTAAGTGGCGGAGGAGGAGGTTTTGCTGAAGGTCGGAGGAGGTAGAGAAGGCGTTCATAGTTGGAGGCTAGAGAGATTTGGAGAAGGTCGAAAGACGTGGAGACCGCGACGGAGGAAATCATGATCAAGGCTAAAGGGTGCAGTCCACGTAAGCAGCTTACGCTACTCTAGGCGCTCCCAAAACCTAGGAAGGACAACCTAGGTACGGCCTAGACACTAAACGCTAGATGGATGGCTTGGGTACCGCCTAGGCCTAGGCATACGCCTGAGCGGACTAGGCAGGGTTTTTTTAAAAACATTGATATGAGATGTGAGAGGAAGATGGCAAAACAGAAAGGAAGGCATGTGTTCAGTTTAGAATTGAGAGTTATCAAAATGGTATAATAGCCTCTAATATACAAAACACATGCCCTTCCACAAGTGTATATGTGTATACTTATACTAAATAAAAGGGGTAGTAATATCTGTTGTTGAATTTAATGTGCAGATGATGGCATATAACTCATGCTCGCCTAGACAGACCACGTAGGCTCTAAACTATATGGTTATTAAAACAATGCTAACTAGCATTGCACATAATCGTGCCTAATAAGAAATCTCATCTTTTTCAAATTTTCAGCTTCCACAACAATATCAGGTACAGTAATAACAATGACGAAGTATTTTATTCAAAATTTTGGATTCGGCAACATGAAACATTTTCTTTCATTTAGTTTGTTTTTCTTTCATTTAGCTTGTTAAGGATCAGTCTATTAATATAAGCACTACTATCACACCTTCCTAATTCCATGTTCTCTTTGGCTTACCTCTAGTCCTCATTGTTCGATTAACTAATAGTCTAATACTCAATCACTTTTAATTGGTGTGCTTATTTACACCTTTGCACATTAAAGAACCCATCTCAATTTGATTCTTATATTTCTTAATTCCTTGATTTTTCGATCCATAAAGCATTTTGTGGTCTTATAAACATCCTATATAGAAACTTTCCTCCAATTCCATGGGTATCTATTGTCGCATAAAACCGCAAAAGTATTCTCTACTTTAATCCCACTTTAATAGTATGGATAATTGATCAAAAGCAACCGCAAGGTACTTCTTGACCATTAATCTGTATTAAGTGTATGTGTCTTCTCACGATTTTGATAACACTACATTTTAACATTTCAAATTAACTTTTATGATCTTAAATGAATCCTTCATAATAAAGATCTCTCCAACTTTCTACTTCGGAAATTAACAGCATCATAATTTGTAGCCATGATGTCACTTGCACCATAATAGGTTACAGTGCATTCGTTTCTCCTTGCCCTTCTCCCAGTTATCACTCATTAACCTGCCCTTCAATGGCCAACCGCCGAATATACACAGTAATATCACTTATAACATAGAGGATATAACAAAGCATGGATCTACAAGAAGAAAACCCATCGTTAAAAATATGATACATCGCAGGGAAAACAACCAGAAATCTGACTACAACAACTAGAAAGCTGAACAGACATCTTCATGCAAAAGCATATTATACAATAATTTTATACAAATATGAAATAACTGTCAAATTGTTATGGTTAAATGAATACTATAAAATATTATTCTTTCACATAGTACATATGAATCCTAGCAGATTTAAACTGATTAGGCGTGTATATAAATAGTAAATACAAATATGGTAGAGAAATAAAATGGTGAGGAGAACTTCCTTAAAATACACAAAAGAGCCATGAGAATAAGACAGTCATCTGTAGCCTGAAGCGTATGACAGAACGCTTAGCTGCCAAAATTTATTAACGGCATAAACAACCTTGGCTTTTTTTGACAGAAAATACAGCTGCAAGTGTCAGTAGTCCAACCGGGTTTGTACTGTCTGTTTGGCTTGATAAATTGTAATTAGGAAAGATAAGTTCATTTACAATATGTAGGAAAAAGTTGCAGTAAATGTTACAACTAGTTTGAAGGCAGCAAAGGCTGCAACTTCTCAAAAGGAAATTAAAAATTAATTAATAAATACCACCTCACTGAATAACAGCTTTCTAATTCAAACCTAGAGAAAATCATGTAGTTTTTGCACTTTTATTGAAACGAACACTGTAGTTGCATTGGAAATACATTTCCATGACAAAATTGCAAATAATCCAAACAATGAATTTGTAGTTGAACTCCTGCAATGATGCATGCAACATTTGTTGTTGCAACATTTTTCGCAATTCATTTTTGTAGCAAACCAAACAACTCCTACAATTGGGAAACACCATTTCTCTACTACACTAAACTTTCAGATTATATCATAGTTATCAACCTATCATTAACAATCAACAAAAAATAACTATAGGTTCTAAGTGTGAGCTTAGTGCAGCGAAAGAGTAACCAAACTTATCCAAAGTACTTTTTCAATAATATTATAAATCCAGAATACAATATCAGTCTATCAGTCATCTAAAAGGATCGTAGTCTCATACTTATGGTTAATGTAACTAGGAGTTAGACTAAATGCAGAACAATCAACAGAATAATTTATCATGAAGACTATACAAAATCCGAGTAAACCCTAATGTGAACCCAGTTGCCAAGTAGGAATTGCTAGGACCATTAAAATGCCAATGGACGTAGAGAAAATCTAAAACATTATCCACCTCAAATTACAGTAACACTTGGATAATAACCAGATAAGCTGAGAATCTCCAAACTTCTCGTCAAATTTCATGAAAAATCTTCCACGTACTCTTAACTAAACAAGCAAATGAGCGTTCTCCTGAATCAATAAATCATCCATTAACAAAAGTCAATTATGTAGAAGCTTTTAAAAATAGTTAAATAGCTTTAAGAGAGTAACCTTCCAATGGAAATTAAAATATCAGAGGATATAACAATTCCAAGATCAAGGGTCTGCCAATTAAAGATTTGTTCTAAGAAAGGTTAACGCACAGACGAAAATCTTAAACTAAAACTTACTAATAATTAAAAACAAGTTTCTTTAATGATTATTATCAATCAATTATACAATGCAACAACAAAATTAGCAAGCAAAATATTAAGAACATAAAGCAATTTTCTTTCTGCTAATGTGACAACTTGATAGCTACATAATTACATACATGAATTATGTACATTTCGTGAAGTAAATTGCAGCCAAAAGAATAAAAATAGAAACAGAACCAAACAAACACTTAATCCGAAAGTGCATCAATAAGGCAAGAAACGAGTCAAAAGATAAAATCCAACAGCAAAATAATACCAAAACTCTTCCTTTTTTCTGCTAATCTCTCTCTTTACCTAGAATCAATAGCTTGTGATTGTCTAGGCTTTGAAACCTCACTGGATCCAGCATCGCCTCCGATCTGATTCCTCCTCAACCACTGCTGCTGAAATTGTTGCGGACTCTGCATCTGATTTCCCCTCTGAGAGAACTGCTGCTGCAGTTGATGCTGCTGATTAGGGTTTCGGCCATAGTAATTAGGGTTAGGGTTCGGGCTAGGGTTTGGGGGTCCATCGGCCCCTCGCCCGTTCCCGATTCCAGGAGGGTATCTCCCTCTCTGATTCATCCGATCTCAAGGAGACCTCAGAAGCTGCAGATTTGACGACGACGACGATGAATCGAATGGAAATTTGAAAGCCCTAGACGAAGTTCTCAGTAATTGGAGATCGCAAACTGCTTGAATTTTTTTTAATGAAATGTTTCGGGTTTTTTTAGGGTGAAAATGCGAAGAGGTGTTCTCTGTTTTGTTACCTTGTTGGGTGCATCCGAATTGGATTCAGACGGTGCGGTGGGCCCCACATAAGGCGTTATTTGGCCTCATGTGCGGGGTGGTTAGGTTCGGGTAAGATGGTTGTCGGTTTCTGAATCAAGTTGGAAGCATGAATGTGTGGCGGGTTCTTTACGTATTAGTCCCTTAATTTTTAATACTTTAAAATTAGCCCTTCAAATCATTAAAACTGCTATTACACCCCCCATTTCTTATGAGTTGTCTCCAAATTAGTCCCTCTCCTGGAGGTCCTTGTAAGTGATGTCAAATTAATTCTTGCAATCAAGAGCAAGCGAGCATATCATGAGTAAGATACAAAAAGGGTTAATTATAGAAAACCCTGCTGGATTTTTGAGGAGTTGTGCACCTTGTGTAGTTTAGGAGTTACTGTATATAATCTCTTAAACTTTTTTATTCTACTAAATCTTGTCTGAAATTTCTTATTTTCTATTCATATTAGCACCATCTATATCTATACTATTTATAAAAGAGAATACACATGTCAAAACTTTTTCATACCCATTTTTCCCTTTACAAATTACTTAATTCTAATTTTCTCCTCATCACAATAGTAAGCTTTAATTAGTGTCTTAGACCAATTACTTAATTCTAATTTTCTCCTCATCACAATAGTAAGCTTTAATTAGTGTCTTAGACTCTTAACCTTCCATAACTCATTAATTTAGTGTCTTAGACTCTTAACCTTCCATAACTCATTAATTAATGTGCTGAATACGAAAACTCACCAACCCATTTGGCTTGAATTTAAGTCTCCATCAAGTGACATGGCCAATTGAACTCCACGCATAATGCAAAAAATTCCTTCAGCTAATGTAGTCATTCACATTATCCACGATAGCCATAAGCTTTTAATGAAACTCCAAGGTTTTTCGTTTCCCGTTCGTTATCCTTATCATTATGCAACAACGCTTAAATTTTTATTGATTTCTATTGACTATATCTTTCATATCTCCCTCATTTCACCATCTCCGCTCTCATCTAAATTTCTCTCTCAACTCCACATTCTCCTCTGTCTTACTTCATCTTGGTCAATGCTTTGTTCTCCTCATTCTCAATATCTAACCAGCGTTAGCATCTTTCAAATTCAATCTCAATCCTATCATTTGTCGAAGGGGGTTATACAAGGAGAGAGCACTGGTATGAAATCCATTTCATAATTTGAGCTCTGTTATATTTCTTCGTCATCTGATCTCTTTGTACATATTGGTTAGTTTTGTTTGATTTCTATGGTTTTAGCTAATTAGATCTCTTCAAAGAGTGATGGCTAGAACTTGTTTTGATCTATTTCTTGTGATAAATTTATGTAGCAAGACGAAGTGCGCTCAATATCACACCGTCGAAAAAGAAGTCGGCCTAAAGCAAGGTGTGAGAGACATTTTCATCCACTTCGATCGAATTTGTTTTCTTTCTGCATTTTTATTAGATTTATTAAATTTATGTTATTCTTGGGCAAATTTTGACTTTACATTTTCCATGTGATGGATGTGTCTTGGATCTTAGTTTTTTTTGCAGGATCTTTCTCAGAGCTGAATATCTTTCACGTTTTTGTTAGTTTAGATCCTAGATCACATTTGTGCATTTATTATCTTAAAAAACATAACCTTCTAATATCATTGTGGATTTTAGACTTGAGGTTAAATTTTCTAAATTTATTTACTCTTTGTAAATCCTATTATGACCCAAGTTCAGTAGTCTTTTTAGGTGGCAATTTGGTACTACAACTGGTTATTCGTATTCTACTGCAAACAAGAGCATGGCTATTTTCTTGAAGCATAACAGCATGCATGATTACCTACTTGATCCAAAGAAGGTATGACCTCTCAGCCTCATAATAACGCTATGTGATATAAGGAACTTAGCTTAGATATTGTAATTAGTTTCGAATGTGCTTGAACTTGAATTGCACTGAGTGTCTAATATGGTTGGTCTCTTATCATTGCTTGATTATGTCAATTTTATTTATACTATTGATTGTGATACTAATTAAATTCAAAATTTTGAATTTTACAAACATAGTGGTTACTTTTGGAGGTCAAACTAAAATTTTTGTTGGAGGGGAAAACTAATATAGAATATAAGAAATATAAATATGCAAGTTTGAATGTTTTAATTACACATACAATGTCTATTTCAAATTGGACCTCATATTTTTTATATTTAACAAGTATAAATTCTTTTTATGCAAAACCAAGATTAGTGTTATCTACTAAATATGCTCATGTATAGATATTTTTCTAGAGCTTATATTACAATGTTAAGGAATTTAGTAGTGAGGATCTACCAAGTGAAAGAAAACCTTATTCACACACGCGCGCACACACACACACACACTACTTATAAAAGATGATATGAGTGACAAAACTTTTGATTGTTTTTTATTTAAAAATTTTAAATATAATGGTCATTCAAATATGATAAGAGTAAATATCCCCACATTTAGGGGCAATTTTTAATTTAACTTTGTCCTTTTCTATCTTTTGTTCTTCAAATAACTCCCACCTGACCGATGAGTAGTCTTGTAGGCTGATGGACTCACTGGGGCAAATTATTCTCAGTTTGTTAGTCTTCTCCATAACACTGTAAAACATATATATAATATAACTTGAAATACACATGCCACTTAAGATGGAAATAAATTCTATGTAACTATAATTAATCACATAATTCATACATGTGTTTTTGTGATCAAATGCATTTGAAACTCCATACCTATTTCATTATAATTAATCACATGGTTCATACATGGTTGGGCGTGGTAGCCTTTGACATTTTGTAGTGAAATTTGGATAGGATTGGAATGAAGGTGAAAGTAATTAGCTCATCAAACAGCAAGGAGAGGGAGGCTATTGAACACTTCCAGTGCTGATTCTTTCCTTGATAGCAGTAGTATTGAAGAAATATAGATATGAACAATATGGATAATTTGAATTTACTCTCTTACTTGATACTATGAGTTTAATTTGGATAGAGGAAATATTTGCAATATGAGAATCTAAGGTGACCTATAAAATGTTTCTAAATTGGGCAAAGTATTGCTTTTTTGATACATGTGTAAAATTTGCTAAAATAATATTGTAATTTCTGATTATGGACTCATTTGTAATTCTCTACTATATGCATATTTGAAAATGTTATCATTTATTTAATTCATATATTCTATTCTTTCCTGGATCCGACGAGCCAACCTAAAACATTTTACATTCTTTAACTCTCTTTAGAGAGAGATAGAACGCATGCATGGGTGTGAATTTTTAATCGCATGAATTTAGATTTCTAATCTCTAACTCTCTCTGAGATTTTGTGTTTGTTGATGGGATTTTTCTTTTTATATTGTGTCATTTTCAGGGAAAAGTAAAATATAAGAAAAAGATAGAGAAAAATAAGAGGGAAGAATGGTAAGCGCAAAGGCGAGTTTCAAGATCAGAGTAACTTGTCAAGAATTATGAATGTTTTTGTTAAAAAGGGTTTTAGTCTAATTTATTTAATTTTCTCTATAATTTTTTAATGATTCAGATCAAATAGACATATTTATTCTAAAATCATTGCAGACAAGAGAGGAAATGTGCAGTCAGTTATGCGAGTTGCTCAAGATATCTGAGGTACTGCCATTTGATCTTTTAGAATATAATGCTATGATCTAATATGATTTTACCTCCATTTTGGGGGAAGATTTTGATGTGAGTACTTAAATTAATTCATTTAAAATCTTCATATTTGTATCTTTTGATTCGCAAAGTGTAATGAAACATTCAGGCCTAGTTTTATCTTCTACACAAACATACATCAATGGACATGTTTTCCCAAAGGTTATAAAATTTCCCCAAAGTTATATAATTTCAGGTCTGACCTTTCTCAAGAAATATTTTGTATTTGATTGGTAGCATATTGCTTAATTTAAATAAATCATTATATTTCTAATGCTTTCATGTTCTGTAAATTTCCTATCACTTTTTTTGGGTTGAAGTTTCACATGTATTGAAACTTAAAGACATGCACAGTGGTGTTGACTTCATCATTGTCACATTATAGTGAGTTTTAATACAATGTGGCATCAACTTCATCCAATGCCTTGCTGAATAATTTTAAAGGTTACTCTCTGTTTAGTTAGAAAGAGCTTTGAATTGGACGTATTAAAGGTCAAACATGCATTTTCCTATTGTCTATGCTATTGTGTTTGTTGCGTGTACTCTATTTCTTTTGTTAATTATTGGTTCCGCTCCGAGTGTTTATTGAAGATATTTATGTCTACTGATAGTATTTGCCTCACTATTGACATCCTACTTGGGCATCTCATATTGTGGCAGAGTACAGATTAGGTTTATTTTCTGTGACAACCTTAAATATGATGCTCGCCAATTAGGACTTCAGGTAGCTTTTTAGCAAATGTGGAAAGGTTGACATGAGGTGAGTTAAATCCCCATAACTGATACTGGATTGGAGAACTTTTTGTACTTTTAATTGTTGAGCACTTTGTTCTGGCTATATTATTGACCTCTAAGCATTTATAGATATTAGACATGAAGCTTTGAGCGATGGTTTGCGCAAAAAATATGCATCTCTGGAGCATGTATTGAATTTATGGAATATTACGGGGCATCATCTGAAGATGCATTTCATAATTTATTCCTCCCTAAATACGAGGATGACCATCTTTGATTCACAAGACTACATGTTTGCCATCTTTGATTCACAAGACTACATGTTTGATTCCTAAAAATTTTGAGTTGCTTTCTATTTTGATCATTCTTTACTTTTTAACCTTGAACTCGGCGCATAGCTACTATTGCACGCGCAATGTCTATTTATGAAAACTATTAATATTAGTTGGAAAGATATGGATAATATTGTTCTATAATTGACAAAGATTACATAACCTTGAAGAATATGCATATGTAGAAATTCATACAGAAGCATAAATGGAATAAAATCACTCAGATACA